TTAGACTCAGAATAAAGTTTTTCACAATAAAAGCATCAAATTGAAGTCGCCAATAAAATTATAGGCTTAACATGTTAATATTACCAATAATATAGAAAGTGATTTGAAAATTAGTAATTCTAGTAGCTTTTAATAAAAACAATCATATACGTGAACATGTTTTCGATATACATAAAAAAAATAATGTTAAGAAAGTTGGTTTCTTTTCCCCACAGACAAAGATTCAATAAGAATGAGTTTTAATACGTCTTCACTTCACAAAATAATGACAGATATGACAAATGCGATACCACAATAAGGTATATTTCGGGATAGAGAATATTGCGTTTCGTTCATTTTTGCGTTCTTTTCGCACTATGAGCTGGTGCAGAATCTGTTATTGAACATGGTATTAGAAAAAGGTTCCACAAGTTTGGTAAGATCTGTATTTTGATTTGCATTCGTGCCTCTCTAACTTCAACAAAACCCGGAATCTCTTCAGTCTCAGGTCCATTAAACGCTCATCCAAAACATTTTCTGTTTTTCTCCAATAATCTCCAAGCCCTAAGTCTTTCTCCGTGGTTATGTTTAACCCCATCTCAGGGCCAACAGTTTCTGCTTACGCATACGATTTCTATTGATTCGCATCTTCAAAGCTTTTATCACTGCTGGAGGCCTAACAGAGCGAGGGCAACAACTTCTTTTTCCGTCTTCTACATTTGAATATTAATTATATCGCGTGATGGAGAAAAGTGAATAAATAAGTGAATAATAGTGCATATTTTTATTTTCATGAACTATTTGAAATTCAAAAATTAATTTTTATGACAAGCATTCAAAATTTCAATGTTCCAAGTTTTCATTATGTGACATAAATAAGTAGGTGGGTAATATAAAAGATTTCAATTTCAAATTCTTCCAATCCCTATCAAACCGAACACGTGGATGTGTTCGGTTTGATAGGAATTGGAAGAATTTTTTATCTTACCAGAAAGTTTTCCATTACATCATCTTACTCAAATTAAATAGATATAAGTTTAAGCCACGCTGAATCTTGAAATACTAATACGCAAACATTTTAAAGTGGTTTCTTTTTTATTTTATTAAATTGAATAATTGATAAAGACGTCTTTAGTCTGGCAGTGGCGACCAGCCTAATTATGATTAACTGCTGCTTACTCCCGCGGGCGACGTAATTTTCTCCGTACGTCCAGCACACACGGAAAGTGAAAATAAATGGTGATGCGCCTCCGTTTTAATCATTCATCGCTTGGCGCCAGGAAATTTCCGGCTGGCTTATTGATATTTATATGTCGATTTGTCAACGGGAATTCGTGAGATCTTAAGAACTATATAACGTCTCTATTAAATATTTATTTTCCGAACAATCTTTTTTAATTCAAAGCTCTAAACAAAAGACAAAATCTTCAAGCGTTACTAATCTAAAAATTAACCAAAATGAAATGAAACAAGTATTAAATTATTTTCAGTGCCTTATTTGTAAGCAGAAATTAACCCATGGATGTTGTGATATAAATAAATTCCATGTGGACGATTCCGAAAAAATACCCGTTTGTCATACAAATACTTCTCACGTACAGAATCGAACTTTCAAACGGTACCGCAGTCAATAGCTTAGAAGCCCCAACAACCATATCCACCTTACGGATACAAAACAAAAGAATAATACCTTCGTCGGAAAACTCATCCGTTTTAACACTCAAATCGTTTAATTCCCGTAGAGCTTTGGAGCGCTATCCTTTTGAAATTGAAGATTGGGATCAAACGAAATTTTATCAAATCGTCGGACAGCAGGTGAACAGTAGAACGACCCCTAAACCGCATCCCTCCATTCCTGCGAATTAATTAAAGCGATGTCACCCCAAGCGAATATTAAACGTTCGCAAATAGACTTATTTGCACGTTATTACCGGTGTTTTATGTTTATCCAGCGCAGTGGGACATTTATTGATATATTAAAATATAACTCGTCTCTCGAAAATACCTCTTTATTTCCTTAGAATATAATGGCGACACAGTTTAATGATATTGAAAATTTTGAGAAATTCTATAAACATTTGGAATAAACATCCATTCCCTCCGTTGAATCGGTCAATTGTGTTGTGTTTAATGAAATAGTCACATATACACTTCATTACTAAAAACTGTTTACGCAGTAGAAAATTCAATTTTAAAATTAATCATATAAAGTTGCGTAAAGAAACTATATGTATAGGACAAAGGGAACACTTTAAAACGTATTTTGAAGTAAAAGATTTTACTCTTTTCAGTAAAGTAAAAGTAACGGTATACGCAAATTCGAATCCTAACCTACTCCACGCCACATTATAAAGTTTTGCTGCATTGATCTTACTCGAGATAAAGGTTCTGGGCGTGCTCGTTGGGATTGAGGTCAGGATTTCAAGCTAGACAATCTAAACAACGTCTATCCTTCCACATCGCCATACCACGCGTTAATACTAATTTAATACTTTAAAGCATCTAGGGAATAAGATAGAAGAAAAATTGTCTAAAGGTTTTAGATACTTTATCGAATTCAAGCCACGCAATGCACTAAATTTGCTTTCTTCAGTCTCAGTCTCAAAAATCAAAAAAATTAAAATCAAAAACGTACTTTTCTAAACCCAGCGGCAACATTATAATCAGCTATCAACAACTTATAAAATAATATGAAAGAACCTTCTTATCATATCCTGATGAGAAAAATATAAATACCTGTTTTTAGTTGTAACTAGCATTCACATTGAATGTCCATGTCTCTAAAGCCAATCCAAAAATTATTTATATATCAGATTATATCTGCGAACTTCAGATGCATTGAATTTACTCGTATACTAGCTGTGCCCGCGACTTCGTCCGCGTGGAATTTTAATTAAAAAAAATTCATAAATAAAAGTTACTCCTTATTACATCAGCTATCTGCCAGTGAAAGTCTGTCCAAATTGGTCCAGCCGTTTCAGAGATTAGCCTGAACAAACAGACAGACAGACAAAAATTGTAATAAAGAATATTTTGGTACATGTACCGTGTATACATCCATATGCATTTAGTAAAAAGCGGTTAATTTTATAATACAAAGAGACTCTCCAATTTTATTTATCTGTATAGGTAATTATTATTAAATATCATAATTTTTTTTGTTCTTGTATTGTTTGCTTGATTTTACGCGAATATTATACATATTAAATGAAACTAGTTTACGGATTCTATCGCGTTTTTTATTTTGATTTGAACTCCTGACGTTTCGAACCCTTTCCAGCGTTCATGATCCCGGGACAGGGAGTTCAAATCAAAATAAAAAACGCGATAAAATCCGTAAACTAGTTTCATTTAATACTTTTAACTTGTGATATAGTGAGTCATTGCGTTATTACTTTCCCCGTAATTAGACATTAAAATTAGCGTTAGTCACTCGTCAGGAACAGGAGTTTTAATAACTGAGTCACCGGAGCAAAAAATCGTCAACAACAAGCGCACCCCATTCCCCCAACCCACCAGCCCTAACTAATTTACCACGCATGGCGAAACCTCGATCAACGATGTAGAACTATTGCGTTTTCTTTGGAATAAAATAACTTCTTATCGTTGTGAAATAATTTTTCCAAGTTAGAAGCATCCTATTCGATAAACCATCTTTACTTTAGCCGCTCCAACGTAAGCGGATTTTCCCATCCATATATGTATTTGTCCCATTAATCCGTTTGAATGCCATTTGAAGTCGTTCAAACAACTCTTCCAGTTTTTAGCAACAATTGAAATCGTAAGATACCATTGCAAGAAAATTTTCCCGATGCAGCCCAAATTTCTACACGAGACAAGATAATTCAATTTGACTGAAGAGGAGGAAAAATGTGGAGGAGTATTTAAAATTCGAACGATGTTTTTTACTTTTAAATAATCAAACTTTATCAAAAAATTATAATCGACCTGCGCCTCATGCATAAAAACTTATTTTCGCAAAACTATCTGCGTGGACTGGTATTTATACCATTCATTCGGTTCGATTAAACTTTAATGCGATGTGTTGTACGCATGCTCAATATTTTCCGACCTTATAACAAATAAACTCGTACATATTAAAATTAATGAGGCTCTCCTACATCCGTAGTGAATATAAATAAATGAATGTTTCAGGACATGTTTACACATTTTCTTTTAAAACTGAAAAGATGTCAATAAAACAGGCGGATCACCTGATGTTAAGTGAATACCGCCGCCCGTGAACATCCACAACACCCCAAGGCGTGTAGCGTTGATAACCTTCCCCGGTCACCTCGCTGACCAGACAAAATGCAGAAGTATACTTCCACTTCACAGCGATCTTCTGTGAGGTAGTGTTACTTCCCCAGAACGGAACATCCCATTCGTGCAACGACGGAAACTGTTACATGTCCGTCGCACAGTAAATTTCATAATAATAATTATGCAGTCCCAAACTAAGCAAAGCTTGAACTTTGGATACTAGGTAACTGATAAACACACATAAAAATACTTTTTTTGTAAATAAATACTTCATGTAATAGATTTATACCCAAACACTACAAAAACCTTATGTTTTTAAATATTTTTGTAGCAGTGAGGATCGAACCATAGCCTCTGGCGCAAAGGACCAGTTTACTATCCACTATGCCGATAGGGTATTCAATATGCGTGTTGTACATATGCCTGTTGCGTATAATTTAAATATAGCGGCCGCGATCATTTTGTCACTGGAGTCTCTCGCACTGCGCATGAGCGGGAGTCGCGACAGGATTTAAATTTAGCACAGTCCGGTATTCTGCCGGCCTATTTAGAATCCGCGATCGAAGCATTCGGGCAGCTTGTAATCCTAAGTACGCGATTATCGACAGAAATACCGTAGATGCGAATGGTCTTCGACGTTTTGATGGGTAACAGATTACCCCGCCGATGTCTAGTGCTGTGACATTGGAATTGTGAATTTGTGAGCGCGGGCGCATCGGTACACAACGCTAAAATTCGCAGATGAAAATTTGAGGAAAATGCGTTTGCATTTGTTGTTGATCGCGTTGTTTTTGTGGAGGCAAGGTATGAGGATCAGAATAATGATTTTTTTATATTACTTTGTACAAAACATGTTTTTTTTTATTTATTCTCATAAGCAAAGCTAAACACAAGAACCAGCCCCGTTATATACTGATTAAATTTGTTTAAACGTCTCTTTATTTGTTAGTACCTGCGTTTTAACTGTGCACTATTAAAATATACTTTTTTTAATGGTGTTAGTAAATTAACGTGATCATATTTTGTTCTTAATTAAACTCATTTCATATTTTATGACTTATCATTAACACTATACGACTATTAATTTATTTAGGTTAATCACTAAACTATAAAAGAAGGGCTTTATGGTTTCATTCATCACTATTATTAGTTTGCGGCATTTCTTTAAATAAATTTGATGTCAATGGCACCATGTTTCATTGGTTGTTAAGTTAAGTTTATCTAAAACCTTCTGTTAACCTATTAATCTTTAGTTGATTTTCATAAATAGAACAAGTATTTTATTCATATGCGCCTATGTAAAATTGAAACAACTCACGACTTACTATTTACATTTTGTTTTGTGAAATTTTCTACCATAAAATTCGCACAAACACAAACATCCGGGCTGAGTTTCTTTATAGATCTTATTTTGAGTCTCGTCGTTTGTATTAGGTATAAGATGAAAACTTACTTCTGAAGTATAAGATGAATATTATTCTAGTGGCATCCAACTGACTGCTCTGTCATGTTTATTTTGAGTTATGTGCTCTGAATATTGGGATAAAGCAAATCTTGTGGAAATCCTTAAAGTTTAGTATCAAGTAAAAGTGTGAGTTACATACTAATAATATCCAAAAATCTCAGTGTTCAAAACTTTTCTGTGGTATTGTATAGTCATGATAATAAATAAAAATACATATTGATCATGTTGTCACTATTTATAACAATATGGTATGTTTTGATGTCCATTGAAATTTTCGGATATTTAAATGAAAGCTGTATTTAGCTGAAATTAAAAGCTGCGTCTATGTACACAAATGTTTCCAATAACTTTTCCTGTATTTTATTACATTTTATTATTTCTTTTTTTATTTAAATGAAACAAATACTTCTACTAATAATTTAAATTAATTCTATTATTACAATTTTTATTTCCTCTCTGAAGTATAAATGTTAGTTAAAGTATTAATCAAATCTTTTTTGTTATTAAAATTTTAGTTTTGTTTTCATTCTTCTCACACTAGTTACTAATTTATTTTAATTAGGGTATAAATTTATGTTAAGAAAGCTGTGTTTGTTCGAAAATTTACGATTTTTTTATACTTTATTAATTAGCTTGCATCCTTAATGTGTTTAATATTGGCGAAACTTAAGAAAATAAATAAATAACATTTGTTTTCCAGAATGACTTATGTTCATAAGAGCATAAATGATATTATCTTTGATAAACATTCATTCAATAAAATACAGTTTTTAATTTTATGAAGTTGTAAACTTTTATAATTAGCGGCCGGTTTACGGCTACAAAATCGCACAGATTCTCCCAAATGCCACTTTTAAGTAGACTTAATATGCAATTCAGTATCCTCGCCTCTGACGATTGACTTAAAAAAGAGTGTTGTTCATTTTTTTATTCATATGGCCGATCGAAACTCGAAAAGCTTTCGAGTTCGGATTGCTAGGTTATAAAACATAACGCTCTCCTGACGCCCATTTGAAAGTCGATTAAAATTTAAAACAAGTCGAGCAAAGTGAAATAGAAAACTACGATAATATTGACCGATATAACAAATGTTTTAGTCAATGTAATATGGTATCGATGTTGCTTCATATTAACACAAGCTAAAATATGTATGACGTACGATTTTAAGATAGAAATTAATAATACTAATAGGTGTTTAGAAAATTAAATGAAACTAGTTTACGGATTTTACCGCGTTTTAATTTAGTTCACGGAATAGACTGTCCCGTTACCATGAACGCTGGAAAGGATTCGAAACGTCGGGAATTATAAAATCAAAATTATAACGCAATAAAATCCGAAAACTAGTTTCATTTAATATGTATTATTCGCGTAAAATAAAAAAAATCATTAGGTGTCTAGAGTTTTATCGAGGTTTTTTTTATGTAAGAAGATGCTATGATGATGTTAAATGATGACCCCTGTCCATGGAAATTTACAATAACAGTAGGGCCGCAGACGCATTTCAACAAGTAAAATTAATTAAAACAATTTGAAATACAATTACAAAAACCACTCCACCATTATCAAATGAAATAGTTCGAAATGGAGAGTCAGACCAATGAATGCAGATAATCATGCACATATTTATTTTTATCCGAAGAGATGGCAAGCGGGATGGCGGTTCACTTCATAGTAACCATCGCCCATAGACAATTGCATCACCGTAGGGTTGCAGATGCGTTGCCACCTTTTAATAACGTGGGCCCCGGCTACCACACTCACCAGACGAAACGCAGAAGTACGACTCTTCCACTTCCCGCCGCTCTTCTGTGAGGACGCAGTACTCACCCCGACGGACCTGCGCATTTGTGCAACAGCTGTGATTTCCTACCACAGTTTGCCTGTGTAGTTAAGCAGTTTCGTTAAAACGGTACCAATCGCAGATGCCGTGACCGGCGTCCGCCTTCTGGAGCTGCGCGTGCCGGCACACGCGGCAGAGGGAGGTGAGGCGATATTAGGATGCCAGTTCGACATGGAGAACGACGTCTTATACTCGGTCAAGTGGTACAAGGACGGCAGGGAGTTCTACCGCTACGTGCCACTCAGCCCCCACCCTATCAGCCACTTCGCTACGCCGGGAGTCATGGTTGATGTGTGTTCGGCTTTATGTCACGTTAACGACTATTTTCGCATAAGTTGGATGATCTTAGTAAAGATGAGGAAGACTGAGATTTGCCTGCAAAATATAATGGTAACGACGAAGGCCAAATTTGCGACGACCTTAGAGAGAGTGGCGTAATAATTAATAATGTACATATAGATATATTTAGGATGCGGGAAACGTGTGTGCCGATTTTGGTACCTAAATGTTTTTGGAATTTACCCATATGTACAAATTCTTTTTTTTTTTTGAGAACTGTGGCATATTTGACCATTATCAGAATAGAAAATTAACATATTCATAAAAAAAAACTGTATCTTGAATATTGCTTTAGACCGGGATTGGAGAACCTATGAACTCCGATTACAACTCAGACCGCACATCACAACTTGGATTCAATGTTCCAATTCCAATTATACATTTATTTCAATATTTACTCCTAATTAAACTTAAGCATTAAACTTTCTACAATATAAACAATGAAAGACACGAAAACAATTTACTTCGCCAATCTCGGTTACTCGAATTTAGTTACACCCAATAAAACAAAAAACTTAATAGCCTTCAAAGTTAGTTTTTGTATTTTATTCAGCTTGTTCGGTTTCAAATTTCGAAATTAGCGCTTGAGAAATTTGTTTCGCGATTATTTGCGAAAATGTTTAACTGAAATTATTCCTCTGGAAATTAATGTCTTGATAATAGGTTGATAATAGGTAGATGCTTGACCTGTTGACTCACCGATAGGATATGCATTATTAACATAGATTTTGTTTAATCGTGTGAGTAAAAATGTAAAGTATTCAATCAGTTAATAATGACTTATAATAGTTGTTATATTCATTACATTGTATTTAATCGGAGGCCGTGACAATATGTAATTGAGCAGTAAATTTTTTAAAAGAAGTTTGCGAACCCGTGTTCAAATGCCAGTGACGGTCAATGAAATTGCTATACGCAATTGTAAATGCTGGCTTATCATGTGCCCCACGGTGAAGGAAACATGAAGAATATGTAAGAAAAATTAAGCCATTTTTGAGACGACCAAGGTTATTGATAAATTAGATTATATTAAAACTAGATTAATAAATTAAAATTCAATTTATCAATTTAATGATATCACGATTTAAGATAAACATTCCATACTAAGAAGTCTTACTTACCTCTTATTTTCTCTCTCGTGTGTATATCATAGCATGTTCAACTTTTTTAAATGTTTCTGAATACCAATTTTCTAACAATATGATTAATTAAGAACAAAAGGCAACAGAGAAAGGCCTGGAATTGCCTTTCCACAATTCATAAACGGAGGAAATAATTTATACGGTGAGATCACGCTAGGTAAATAATTTATTACTAAACCGTATTGTTTCTTGAGAACTGCACGTGCTGCTCGTATTTCTAGAGTCTATCTTTAAAAACTGCTAATAAACCATTGAATCACAGATGGTAACTGAAAATAGTTCACCAATTTTCCATTCTTTCATCAAGGAGTTTTCCTCTCTGTTAACTACGATTTTATTACTCTTGACTCCGATTACTAAATACCGATCATAAAAACTGTTTAGACGTATAGGTCTCAACTGGATAAAAACTTAAGTGGTAAATAGTGGAACATAGTAATTAGTCCTTGAGTCAATTAACTTGTTAATCTCTAAAAACTTAAGGTCTTTTAACTAGATCTATTTATAATCATTTATAACTATACTATTTTTATCTATTAAGGTTATAGGTTAAAAATACGAAATATATTTTCTACATTTCTTGAACTTACTACCTCCAATCATATCTTATAAATCCAATTATTTATATATAAAAAAAACTCTAAGCTATTATCGGCTTCTTGAGGCCGCCTACCTCAGAATAGAAAATTAAATGCTAAACTTAGACTTGAAATTTAAGCCTCTGAATTCAATTTCTAAAAGTTTAAGTAGGCGTCTGAATTCCCTTTACTTCATTCTATACTGCTATAAATTAATAAATTTTAAACATATCGATATCTTCTTGTTCTTCTTAAAATAAATATTTCATAACCTTCGAGCTGTCTCTATGCATAGTTTGCATGAAATTAAACATTTTGTTTTCTCGTCTTAACCAAATAGTATTCACTATTACTTCTTATTTGTATTAATTTATTATTTAAACTCGTCAATGGTGATAACCATAAATAAGAAGAAGGCAAGGCCTTAAATATCACGTCAACTATATGACAACCTTTTGAAAATTGGGCTCCGGCTACCTCACTCACCAGACGAAACGCGAAAGTATTACTAACTATTATCCTGTTACTTTTATGTTCAAATATTTGTTCCTCGCATTTTTGTCCAAAACATCAGACGCACTATTTGTATCGATATCACACAATGTGTCGTTTTTATGGCTATTAGGATCCATTTAGTAAACATAATATTTTGTATATAGGTGGGGCGGTCATCGAACACGGTAGTGACTTTGGTACATTTGACCCGAGATTCCTCTGGCCTCTACCGCTGCGAGGTCTCCGGAGAAGCACCACTCTTCGCCACGGTTTACGATGAGAAATACATCACAATATACCGTAAGCTTAATAGCTGACTGATAATATGCCAAGCTTTGATGTAAGATTAGTCCTGGGCATTAGTCCCTTTATGAACTTAGTTCTTGATAAATCGTATGAAAAATATATTTTTCTATGCGCGAATGTACAATACTTCTACTTCATACCGGTCTTCTATGAGGCTATGCTTGTGACTTCTATGGGCACAGACGAACCTGTCAATTCGTGTAACAACAGAAACTGCTGCATGGCTCTAACACATGTAGCGTTGCGGTGTCTCACGTGTGATGGTGGGTGAATTACTTGCAGGGTCAAATACCCGGGCAATTATTTATAATTCTAGAGTATATAGAGGTATCTGATGGCAAGACTTGAAGGATTTGTGCATCCTGACAGTCTTTATATCATCAGCGAAGGCAAACAATTCAAAGCCACATTTCAGAAAACATATAATTGTTTTAGTTAACTAAAAATAGCAACGTTTAATTTCATATATTACCAATTTGGCAAATTTCCTAAATCCAAAATGAAGAAGATCCTTACCTTAGTTAAGGCCGCAATGAAAATCTAAATAACCTCTAAATTCAGATAAATGTCTTGCTGTTATTCGAAGACTGGTGGAGCACTTCTACTATCACCGCCGACGACCATGTAAATTTCAGTGCTAGGTATACGTCTGCTAAAACAATCTGAATACAACGTGAGGTTATTAATCACAAACTATGCAAACGCACTAACCGTGGATGACGGAACTTCCTAAAGGGAGACGTTTATACAGAAACTAGCATTCATATTCAAATACTGTAAGTCGTAGCTATTCTCTTGGTGTACGTGATGTCGTTTGAATTGCAAAATTACGAGGCAACGATCGAAAATAAATACAGTATAACTGGAATCAAAATCTACGGGTGTATAGTAGAACAGTTGTTTTAGGCGTAAACCAGCCTGATGGCGAAATGTCCGCTTGTATTTTCATTCCAAAGTACGATTTGCTATTTATATCATACAGGCGCTTCTAATACAATAAGTGAGAAACAAAAATAATAATAAGTGAATAAATATACGTTATACACTCAAATTAACATTAATCTGCGACGTAATGAAACGCTCGTGCGATAAAATAAAGATCGATTACAAAGGTAACGTCATTCATACCAAACAACACTCATCTCAATAAAAATACTAATAATTGTTAGGGTAACGGAATCGCGGCTAGTCCTTAAACATTAAGCTAAAATTCTTGACCAAAAATTCGTACAATAATTTGTCTGTGCTATGGCCACGCAACAGTCTTCGTTGTTGGACAAATTAGCAGGTTCGTCCGGAGAAGTACCACGACCTCACAAAAGACCGGCGTGAAGTGGAAGAGTTATATTCCTTGTTTCGTCTGGTGAGTGAGGTAACCGGGGACCGCTTTATTAAAAGGTGACTTCGCGTTTATAACCCTACATTGAGTATTGCAAAGTAAGTCCATGGGCGCCGTCATCATTTAACATCAGATGAACCGCCAGCTTGCAAACCTCTTACATAAAAATTCTAATGAAAAACAATCTTTTACGGTGGTAGGACTACGCAGCCGCCTCGCCTATTGCACGAATGGGCAGGCCCGTCCGGGTAAGTACCATGACCTCACAGAAGACCAGCGTAAAGTTGAAGTATGACAAATACTTTCGCGTTCCTTCTGGTGAGTGAGGTAGCCGGAGCCCAATTTTCAAAAGGTTGTCAACGCATCTGTAACCCTCCGATGTAGCAGATGTCCATGGGCGGCGGTATTCACTAATCATCAGGTGAACCGTCTGCTCGTTTGGCAACTTTTTACATTAAAAAAAATTGGGTATGAATTCGGAAGACGCGGGTTCGATTCCAGCGACAATTTTTTTTATTGACAAGCAAATTTTTTAAGTGGCTTCCATTTCTTAATGTTTTATCTTAGAGCGCAGTTTAGAACTATAATGCCAATATAAAATTTTGTGCGAATCTGTTTGAATAACTCATACGTTGCTATTTCCAGTATTGCCAGAATCTGGGCCACAGCTGACAGGGTTAGAAGAAACTTACAAAATCGGAGATCGCGTCAGAGCCAACTGCACGTCTCAAGGTTCGCGACCAGAAGCCCAATTGAAGTGGCTCATTAACAATAGACTAGCTCCAAGGAATTATCTCCGGGGGCCTTGGTATAGAACATCAGAGCGCCCTGATGCAGTAGAAACAATTATGGAGCTAACATTTTATGTTGGATCGAACCATTTCAGACTGAATACATTGGACCTTAAAGTTAGTAACAATAAAAGAATTATAGTACAAATTCAAAATCAATAATTTTAAAACTTTATATTTGCTCTAACGAAAAATAATCCTTTGAACATTTTCTTTTTTGATACCAATTTACGCTGCAGAATACAATTCCTATGACTAAATAATATTGTAGTCGATCACAGCACAGTTTTGAATGACGAGCTTTATTTTATTTAAATTTCGGTCACTGATTCAAAAAAAATTGTAATCCTAATTAAATAGCTTCTAAAACATTTTATACAAAAAGATCATTAAAATTTGGCCTAGCTCGGCGTTGGCAAAGTTAGGAATACTCTGGAGAGGCATTTCAGTGACGGAACTCGATAGGAAAAGAAAATAAAGTGAGAGAAGTGACTGTTCACAAGTGACTGTTGTAGTGATGAAAAGATTAGTGCAAGTGAGAAGAGATGCAGAAGCGTACGTGGGGGATTATTGCAACAACGAGTGGAACGTAGTACCTGTAGATGTATAAGACGATGTTTAGTGCACAATGTCGAAAAAAAAGAAGGTCACATTTCCCGCACTGCGATCTCACAGATGCAAAAAGGAGAAGCCGTGGCTAGGTCAACACAGTACACTCACTCACCAGGATAAACCAGCGTACCGTGGGGAAGAACTACTGCGTGCTTTTTACGAAGAACAAGCGTGCCACCTGAAGGAATAAGCACGTACACGGAAGGAACAACTGTGTTCTTTTAAAGTGCGCTAACATGATAAGATTCTACAAGCTCATGGTCACAATGCTACGGAAGAAGAAACTAGAAAGCAAGAAAAGGAGATGAAAATTTTAGAACTGCAACGCCCAAACTCTCACGGACCTACGGAGCCACGTCCAAGGTGCCCGTTCAAGTCCCAGACGAAGGAGCTCCTCGGTGCAGATTTAGCCGTACACGATATCCTGGAATTTGTCCATGGCAACACCGACATTGGGCCATCTATGTGTAAGCATGCATGCGACAGAAAGACATGACTAAGACGCGTTACGACTCATTACGACATCTCCTTCAGAACACGGCGAGAGACAATAAAATATAGCCTTCTGTCGTAAATAGAAGGGCCAGTCTTTAAGGAGATCTGGGGTGACGTCCGCCTGAGGAACGTCAACAAGGATCTTTATATGACAAACGAGGCTATGCGTTTAACGAACCATATGATACTCGGGACAAGCACATCCTGAAGGGTGATAGATACTATTACGATCACGAGGTTGTCGTTTCTATTTTCAACATTCTGTCTTGATAGTTTTTTTTTTTTAAATTTATTTAGCTCACCTGCAGATATGACAATAAAACTTACTTAGGTCATCATACAATAATCTAAATGCTTAAAACTAATTGCACATCCAAATTATAGGCAAACACAACATTTTTAATAGATTCACGTATTTGTAAGTAAATGTATTTTACAGAGAAAAAAAATACAACTAAAACAAAAATATTAAAGTAAAAATAGAATACAGCTAATATGTTGACATAAGTGTAAAAAAACCTTTACCCAGCGGAACAACACAAAAATTACAAAAAAAAGAATTTATAACAAAAAAAAATTGTTTCTCGTGGACATAAGTTGTCAATCATGGCTTAGAATAATGTGGCGACATTGAAGTAAAGAATCGAAATTAAAATCAATTTTGTCGGAGACCTTATTTACTAGAGCACAAAATCGCGGGATAATTGACTTAGCTCCCAAAACAGTTCTCTTAAGAGGAGGCGTTAGGGGTTTCACTTTAGTGCGTGGACAAGAACGAGGGACATTAAAGTTAAATTTGGAAAGAAGTTCAGGGCTACATTATTTCTTACAAGCTTATGGAAAAAATTTTAATCAATTAAGTCTCTCCTCTTAGAAAGACTCGTTATTTTAAAATGGCTAAGTCTTTCGTCATAACTAATTATTTTTTATCTAAGCATGATGTTTTTGCAATGTGTCATAAAAATCGTTCCTGTAATCTCTCCAATCTTAAAGAATGCGTAGAATAATGTGGCCGCCAAACAACACTGCAATATTCAAGACAACTGCACCAAGCTGAATTACAGTGATTTTTTTTGTTTCTATGTTGCGAAAGACCCTACCATTTCTCATTACGAACCCTAGCATTTTTACTGCTTTTGATACTAACCAGTCATAATGTGGTACAAATGTTAGTTTTTGATCAAACGAAACACCTAAATCCTTAACACATTCAACCTCCCGAATAGTTTTGGATGTTGATTTGTTTTGATTGTCCTTAAAGTTTTGGATGAAGTTCTTAAATAAATAAATAACGAGTAAAAGAAGTTTCTTATTCCGGAATTTTGTATTACAAAGACAATCCTGATTCGGATCCTGATTCCTTAAAATTGTATACAAAAAGACGATAGAAATTCAAGTCGCTTTTAGACCGTTATACATGAAAGGATAATCGAAATTTGATCTATAAAAAGGACCCGGAGCGCGCTAGAAGGGCATTCCAGTGGCAGAGCTGGAAAAGGAAGAAGAAAAGAAAAAATGAAGAAAGTGAAGTGAACGGTGATGTGCAGGGGAGATGTGTACGAGGAGGGCTGTTGCGACAACGTGTGGGCCGATGCAACCGGTAGAAGTGTACGTGGAGGATTTACGCGACAAAGAGGACGTTTGGCGTGCAATGGGAGGGCCATCGCAACTAAGGTAGTTGCTCATCCCTCTTTGTTAGAAGTGTAGGTGCAGGGTTGATGCGGCAAGTGGACGCGACGCACGTTTTTATTTGTAAATAAATTAAACTTAAAAATAAATAAATTGAAACACAAAAAACACCAGTATTTCACTCCGCAGGGACTCTTTGACACCACCCCCACCCCCCAGCGCGTATCAATATTTATGAAAGATGGATGTGTGTTAATTATCATTCAAGAAATTTTCTGTTCGAGTGAATTTTGCGTAACGTGCACCCGTAAAAGTATACTGATGTATAAACATGTAATTATAAAATTTAGGGATGAATTAATATCCACATTCTATATCCATTCATTTGTATGACGTTGTGAGTTTTTCGATTTTGTGATTAAAACATTTCAGTGTCAAGCGACGATAGCTCCATTATATCAACAAGAGACTGTACATCAGGCGTCACAGGAGGAAATTTCAGCCATCGATTCCTATACTGATGCGCCGAAACTGGGGGAGGAACCAATTCCGACGTTCCCAGATTTCGGGGATACCAGTCAACTACAATTCGAGGATGACAAGATAGAAAATAACAAAGGCAAGTGCGACATAGCACAAAAATAGTTATAAGACAAAGCAAGAATAGAAATATTACTACAGCAATAAATTTTGAATTTAAATTGACAGCTGTGACAAAATTGCTTAGACGAGCGCCATTTCAAAGTGACTAACTTAAATATTGAATAAAAATCTGACTATAAGTCAATTCTCTACTTAACAACGACGACCCAAATGGTGTAGTCGGTAGTGTACCTGCCTTCTGCGCCAGAGGGTGTGGGTTCGATCCCCACTACTGGAAAAATATTGTGTGATGAGCATAGTGTTATTCTAGTGTCTGGGTGTTTATATATGTATAATTTGTATTTATTTACAAAAGAAAAGTATGTTTAAGTATGTCATTCAATTTTCAATACAAGCCAATTACCAATAGTACAAGCATTGCTTAGTTTGGGACTAGAGAATGTTGTGTAAAATGAACGTGTCCTTCCTTCTAACAGTACTATTCTTATTTCTATACTCGTTTCAAAACACTTTAGTTTCTGGGTGTAATAATTGTGAGTAATAGGAATGTATAAATTGTATTCAAAATTACTTTTATGCCTTTTATATAACAAATGAGGAAGCAATCGATGCAACTATAAATAAAAATCAATTCTGTATTTTTTTATGTATGAACGTGGCAAGCGAGCTCGCGGGTCACTTGATGCGAAGTGATAACACCACCCATTGACATTTGGAACACTCAATGTAGGTTACAAATGCGTTGCCCCCTTTCAATAATGTGGGCCACCGTTACTTCATTCATCAGACGAAATGCAGAATTATAACATTTACACTTCACGCCGGTCTTCTGTGAGACCTACCTATTGATCTACCCAATCGTGCAACAGCGAAGAATCATTATTACGGGTACGTCGCCAGTTCGATTTAGCGGTAGTTTGGAATTTCTGATGATAATGTCATGTAAACCAAATTAATTTGCAATTTCTTTTACAGATAAGGCTGCAACAATTTCGCCTTCGCGAGTTTTATTATTATTAGCATTTATTTTAACCTTATGCATATTAGATTGGTAGTGTTTAATACAACAGCATATTTGTTCTTTTTATTAGTTGGTATATTATTGTTGTCTATTGATAAAAATATATTAATGATTCCAAATAAAGCACAATTTGTTTCAATCAAGGGTTACCTATTTTATTTTAGGATTCTATAATTTAGAAAACATTTTATTAAAATATTTATTGCGGAAGTTCTCTGTTCATCAACATAAAGAAAAAATGAGGCAAAATGAACCATTCGGTCTCCAATGATTACATGCCTGCCGAAATCACGATTTCAGAGTTTGACATTGTGGCTAGTTGGCATTCGATCGTAAACGACATTACGTCAAATGGTGGGTCCATTACTGTAATGACGCATAAATACGTAATTGTATTTCAAATCGAAATGCATTTTTTCATTCGCTTACTCATGATACATTATGTTAAAATGTATACGTAAATAATCTGAAACAATTGAATGATCATCGAAGACTCTACACTTATTAAAAAATTACACATTATAGTACAGTAGAAAAAATAAAACATCTTTGCAACTGCGAGTAAAACACGCCGGGGCAAATTATACAATTATAATTATGGAATCGCAAACAAGTACAGTACAGTACAGTACAGTATTAGTGGTAGAATCAGGGTCCTGATAATTTAGTTTAAGAAGTAACAACCAAATTACGGTTTAAACTACTAAATGAAACTGATACTGTTTAAATAGAATAAAGTATTAGGCTCACTATATTTATGTCCTTCCGTCAAATGGCCTTTGGCTTTTGTAATTTTATAGCGATAGAAAATAGACTGTGATGGCATGCTGTAAAGGATACACTAGATGGCGCTAAGCATTGCTAAAATTCAATAAAAAGACCGTTGATAAGTAACGAGAATTTCTCGCCGTGAGATAATCGGCCGCTTAGTTTAACTTGTGAATCGTCTGGGCACGCAACCAGAACACGCAGGCCCGACTCCCACAGTGCCGACAATATTTGTTCATTTATCTTCAAATATTTTCAAGGTACTTTTTTATACTATTATTTTCAATTTTTAAAAAAGATTTTCGAAATTACAAACAAAATGCTTGGATGCTTATTAAGTTATAATATAAAAAAAGATTGGCTCATATTTAACACACAATCCATTTCTAACTGGCTCTGGCCTTATTTCGATAGGGCGGCCACCGTATGAGCCACTTCTCTAATAGATATGTCCATTTTAGGTAATTTTCGCGCTTTTGTTGTTTTCTTATTTTAAAACGTTGCCCGTACTTTAGGATAACAGTATCCTGTGTTGTAAGAACGTTTTACAAACATAATTTTCACGTGGATAAACACCCAGTGTGAAACAACTATTCGTGGGTCACACAAATATTTCTCCCGTGTGCAAAATCGAACCCACGACCCCCGACGCCGAAGTAACCACAGTTGGCAAGCAACTGCACTACGGAAGCAAAATGACGAACTCGAAGTGTATCGGTTGATATTTGAGAACGGACTGATAAGTGTGGGTCAGATTAATAAAAGTAACAGCCCATAAATAGCCCACTGTTGGACAAAAGCCTCCTCTGTAAAGGAGGTACCAGGGCATAGTCAGGTCACTGATGAGCACGTTATAAGTCAGCACTTAAAATTAACAATTTCATTGGCGCTAGCACCGGGGATCGAACTCAGGTTGCTCGAGTAAATAAAATTAAAGGGAAGCGCCCGGACACTGAGCTATCACGGTAGTCAGATTAATGACATTCTCTAATTAGTGCATTTGTAAACAGGTGCAAAATGCTGAATAGCAATAACAACATGTTTGAGGATCGTAGTCTTGGAAAAGATAACATTTGTTTAAAACATACTACTGCTTTTATATTATTTAAAAAAGAAAACTATAAGTCTTGTCTTAGATATTTTTAAGTAAGCCTGGGGCAGCGCTAGAACCGTTTTTTTTTGCTACAGAGTGTATATTATTTCTTTATAAAAAATCAAAGTTAAAGCTCATAGTACAGTACTAAAAATTTGTCGTACAGTGTACTTTTAGTGGACTTTTCGGTAACGGCAATAAACGGAAGGACTTACAAATGTTTTATCCCATATCGATACCTAATCATATGCATAATAATGTTGGGTAAGATAGTCAAAACATGGTAATAATTTAAAACCCGGTCAAGCGCGAGTAGGACTCGAGTACGAAGGGTTCCGTACCATAATCTACAGAACCTGCAAAAAAAAATCATGTCTGTTGTATGAGGACCTCACTTAAATATTTTCTTCTGTTTTAAAGTATTCGTTGTTAAAGCAGCGACAGAAATACATAATCTGTGAAAATTTCAACTGTCTAACTATCACGGTTCATTAGATACAGGCTGGTGATAGACGGACAGCGGAGTCTTGGTAATAGGGTCCCGTTTTATCCTATGAGTACATGAAAGAAGAAACACGGCAATTGCGGCACGGAAAAGTGATTATTTTTCTATTTAAATTTGTTTATTAATATACTAAGTGACACTCGCGCAATAAAGAAGAATCTTATGACATATCATTCATCACAATCAGGTCAGCAGTTCAAACTCCAAACTCTCCTTTTATTAGTCGGGTAACAATGAAACACATTTTAGGGCACCAATAATTATAATTAATAGGAAAATGTCTAAAGGTACGAAATAATCATAATCTTTAAAGGCATACAAGACAAAGCCTAACAAATAATATATATATTGGGTTACACTTATCACAAATAACTACGTTTTATCACAGCTCTATTTGTATATAAATTGTATTGTTGCCTAGTATTTCCATTGATTCCTTATTTTAAATGCGTTTTATTATTTACTGATCCTAAGCATAAGCATGCTCAACTCCGAATGAGCGATAACAAATTAACAAGAGTTGAAATCAATAAAGACTTATTTCTTTCAAGATTCGTTAATCAACCAAGATAAACATTTAAAATATTGATATTTGTACATCATATGTATATTTACGGATAAATTTTTATATTATGTTTAACATCTATCTACTATTGCCAAGTTATAATTTATAATTTTCTTATTTATTCATTTTTAGTTTAGCTTCTGTTCTCTAATTCAAGTTTGTTTTATAGTGTTGTGTTTACATGTAGTTTAAATATGTACATGTATTGTTACAACTTTACTACTAACATATTTGTACGTCAATGTTTGGTATCTATTTAGTTGGTAAGCCTTAATTAATAAATAAAAATAAAGTCAATAACTCAACAACATTTGGTTTGAATACTCCAGATTAACCTGTGATTATCTTCAAAATAAAATTATTCCAAAATTGTTCTAAACTAAAATGCGTCCATAGTGAACTATATTGAGTATACACACTAATTCTCAATAATTGACTAACTACAATAATTACAAACGTCACGGTCTTCCTGTAAGAGAACTTCACAGGTTGTACGTCGAAACGACATTGATGGCCTATACAAAAGAATGACAATAGGGTTACGATATCGTCTGCAATTGTACTACTTCCTTCTGTTTCTTTTTACCGCGGAAGTGCTCTTCTATCTCCGCCAGCGACTTCCCTTTCGTTTCAGGGACCATGAAGACTACAAAAATGAACGCCAAGAAGCAAAAACAGGAGTACATCCAAAACGTCCCTGCTGACGTCAGCACACCCTGCGGATTGAAATGTTCAGACATAACATGTTTTATAGAAATGATGCGGATCACGAGTTGAGAATTGGGTTTTTATAAACGTTGCTCGACTATTGTTGCAGTTATCACAAATAGATTGTTCAGGGTCAAACTTCATGTGTTTAATAAACTATTTGGATTTAGAGGACCGGTTCCTGGTTGGCATCTCATTAACGAGGACACATTCTCTATTACTTATAAACTTTTGCAACTATCTTTAGGATTAAGTATGTACCTACATATATTGCGTTAATTACTGCTTAAGTTTATACATAATATGAAAAACAATATAATAGTTTAATAGTATTCTAGCAAGGTGCATACTTCAAGTCAAACAAATACGAAACACACAAAATATGCAAAATATTTATATCCTATCATGTATTTACTTTTTTATGTATAGACTTGCACAAAGGCGGACATTAGTTTGATATTACTTTAGAACGTCTCTAAGACATTGTCAAGATTTTTTTACTGACATACAACACATGCAGTAATGCAAAAAGCTTCGGGAAGAATCGAAACTCTAAACCTTTGTTGGGTAGCTGTTTCCATATTAACAAGATTATAAGGGTTTTGATACATGGTTTACTATAAAGTATAATTAATTTGTAAGAGTTCAGAAAGAACAGTTTCTTCTATGCTTACCTCTAGAGCGTGATACGACTTGATGACGGTGAACATAGAGAGAAGATTAACAGCGCTTGCCATTGCGGATAACTGGGAGCGGTAGTGAGCGGGGAAAAGCTCCCCGAGCAGGAGAAACGGTAGACCTCCGAACCCAAGAGAGAAACCAAGCATGAATACCACTAGGCTCACGATCGGCAGGTACCTAAGAGAATTAGATTAATGAACAACATTAAAAACGTTTCATCCCATTATTTTCACTGTGGTAAGGCTACGCAACAGTTACCTGTTAGAAGAATGGGCAGGCCCGTCCGGGGAAGGACCAGCACCTCACAGAAGATCGGCGTGAAGTGGAAGTTTTATACTTCTGCGCTTCGTCTGGTATGTGAGGTAGCCGAAGCCCAATTTATTAAAAGGTGGTAACGTATCTGAAACCCTACGGGTGTTGCAAAATCCATGGGCGGCGGTTATCACTTAACATCGGCTCAACCACCGTCTTACGTTAAAAAAAAACAACTTTGGACAACGACATAAAATACTTATTTTTATCGCCTTATTTCTATTTTTATTTCTAACAAAGCTAAATTACGAATTCAAATTGACCGACATCATTACAGCACAACGGTACTAATAACGATGCAACCTGACCCGCTTTGGCTTTGGTCTAAGTTATTATACGCACAAGAGACTATCGAAATATCAATGTGGCTTTACCTTACGAAAATTAAGAGATGAGGTTGGGTGGCCTTCAAGCCTATATTCTGAAAATAGTTCACAACCACACTTATTTCCTACGATAATGTCTTACTGTGTCAGAATAAATTTAAACGGTGTTTGTACATGATAGAAAAACATCAATGTTTATATGGCCCCGACCTAAAAAAAAGTCCAGATTCATTTTGATTAGCATTACGCTATTACCCAAGCCAGGATTCAGCTTCGAACTGGAAGTAGAAGGCAGCACCCATCGCCGCCATGGATGCGCACATCGTGACAGCAGACAGTAATAGCAGAGGCCGCCGTCCTGCTCTATCCACCAGCATCGTGCTCACGCCGTTGCTTAGCAACTGCACCGTTCCCACCACTATCGTTGCTGTCATTGCATCTAGTTTGCTTCCTATCACACAACATAATAGTTAGGAACTTTAGTTAACCTTGTCTACGAAATGTCGCCATTAAATTAACTACGTCACAAAGAACTCGTCACGAAGAGATATTATGTCTCTTTAGGTATCATAGTATTGTCCAAATTGCTAACCGTCTGCTCGTTAACTGCCTGATAATCGTCCTTTATTTTTATGCGGAAGCACGTACACTTAATTCACAAGAGTGTCGTTGCAATTCAACACGACTTGAGGAAATATGTACATTTATGTAATACCGGTATTTAAATTCGAGTATTCTTTAATTTAACGCGAGGTTTGTCTTTAATTAAAGAAATGAAATAAAGAATTAGTCTGTTATTAGATAAATGTTTAACCTGCACTCTGGAATATCTCTACGGTGAAGAATATGACAGCATCAATACCGCTGAACTGCTGGAATATAAGAAGTGCGAAACCCACAATGAGGGGCTTCATCACGGCGGACGAGCAAAATACCTCGCGCGTGAATAGGCTCTTAGGTTCTACCTCCATACTTTTTCTGAAACACATAAATAATTCCTATATTACAAAATGTCGTTGACGTTTTGTTTTTCTCAGCAGCAATTATAGTTACAACATTATTATGGTTCCTGAACCGAAGCCACCACTGACAATCAATTATCAATTATCTGTTCTAACAGCCCGTGTTACAGGAGATAAATGATTTTAAAATTAATACCACACGCGGCTTACAATGTTTGCTTTCATTAAAGGTGTACCTATTAAATAATATGTGTGCAGCACTAGTTGTGAATGCTTTTATTATATACATTAAACATTGTCATAGCTCGGTGCTCACAGAGACGTAAATAATTGACAGTATCTTCATTGTAAGTATGAAATTAATTCGAAATATTGTGGATACGACGACACAATAGCAAATAGGCATATTAGTCAACTTTGATACCATAGTTGGTCAACTCACTCAGGACGCTCTTCCTCATCTTTCGCAACCGCAACAGCACGACTTGATAACTGCAACCAATTGATAGCCGGTTCAGCATCCAGCCCGCGCGACTTCAACCACACCGGCGACTCCGGCAGAGGCAGCAGAATTATGAACAAGGCCGCTAAGCAAAAATTTAGATTGAAAAACAGAAATATAAGTAGGTGATCGCGATGAAATCCTTGTGCTATTTTGTTCTTTTATAACTTAAGACTTTAAAATTCTCAAACTAAGAGGGAAACAGAATCTAAAACTATGTCGATAGACATCATGTTTGCAATTTTTTTGTTGTTTTACAAACTTAATACGTGTTTAAAGTGAACCTTATATTCTTTAGAACTTATGGGAGCAAAGGACACTTTCAATTCATAGCAATTACCTACTTTTTTTTATCTACGTAGGATAAGTAATCACTTCCCAGTTTTGCTACAAGGCAACGTTATAATTACATATCAATAATTTCGCCTTCCGCATTTCGTATTTCATTTACTACTGCCATTGCTAATACGCTAACGTCCATAATTTCATCGATTTATGATTTTTTTTGTAGAATCTCTTTAAAATTACTATAAAACCCTCCTTAATAAGACTCTAATATAACGGAAACAAAACATAATATAACCATAATACAACGGAAACAAAAATATAATTTATTATTGTCATTCAACATAATTTAAAAAAATGTTTTCATTGTTTGGACGTTGTAATAGATACAGATTCCTATTTAGTTTCTTAACATCCTCGTATTTAACATTAACAATGACCTTTTTCTTTATAAAACAATCTTTTATTATTATTCGCCTACTACACGTGGACACAGGTTTTTGCGCATTCTCCCAACCGTGACCGTGAGTGACGTATATATCACGCATTCAAAATGATGGCAATTATAATAGTAGAACCAAAGTCGATAAGGGTGTGAAGCTAAACTTCAGCAAGATTTCATTAATAAATATTATTATATCAATTTACACGATTTTGACTCACATTCATCCTAGTAAAACCATGAAACAACTTGAGTTTAATTACCCTAAATAACGGAATGAAATAAATGCATGTTCACTAAAATTTCTTATTGAACTGTAGGGTAATGTTGAATTGCAAAAATTTCCCATTTCCCATTTCTTCATCGCACGATTATTTTGTTGTCGTATTTTGAATATGTGTTTTGACCGTTATTCAGAGCACTCTTAGTCGTCGAGATAAGACGTTGGTTCAATTTACCGCAGAAAGTGGCCGAAAGGAAGGCGAGGTGCCTCCAGTAGAGCCAATTGCCAGCGACATAAGATATCAGGATGCCCAGCGACATGGATAGCGTGGGCAGCGAACCTAACCTGCCACGGATCTCAGGATCACAGCATTCGCTTACCTGTAAAATATTTTCATTGAAGTTATAAGCGGAACACAAATTTTTCTCTCAAAACCTGTAATAGATACTTACACCCGGTTTCCGAAAGCGCAATCAATTTTAATTTACGATAAATCTCTTGTCTTGTTTAACATGATCTGAGTTGCTAGAACGTCTTAAAACAACATTGATTTTGATTTGCAATTAGTCACTGATTAACGGACAATCAACAGAAAATCGAGTTTCTGAAAGCGTTTTTCGGTGTTTAACGAGCTGTCAAAAGTTTTATTAAGTAATCTGTCAATTTGGACGATCAATCGTTGGTTAAAAATGTTATTTATCAAAAATCTTAGTTTTTAATAAAAATAAACATAATTCCCTAATACGTTGTTAGGACATTCATGTGTTCTATTACCTATTTATTATTTATTATTATGCGAACATATGTGATTAGAAAAAATACAAAATGCAATTCAAAAGTTAATAAATAATATGGAATCTTTCTTTTTATTATACTTACTTGTTTATTATGGATAAAAGTTCATTTTTTTCACGTTCTGTAAAGTTTTTTTTTGACATTTTGTATGTATTTATATAAATTAAATTTTATTATAGCTCGGATTTTTACGTTGGCAATCACACGGTGACAGGACTGGATAGTGACGTTAATTTAAGTTTTGTTTAAAAAGGGACAGCTATACAATAGAAAGAGTTAGTTGATGTAAATCATTCATTTCATTCATTATCATTGGTTATACAGTGATTAGCTAATTTTTCTTGAACAAACCTTCCAGAAACCCAAGGCAGATTAACGAGAGATTAACAGCTGATCATTTTTGACATAGTGTTATGTGATTGCTGCTTTGATTAGCCTTTCGGAAACTGGGCATTAGTGTCTTAATAGGTTCCTTTTTAAATACTCTTTAAGGTGCAAGTAATTGTACAATTTCTCGTCTTTCTCATCCTAACGGGATGTTCTACAAATATATTCTATTAGATGGAGCCTGCGATCTGCGTAGGATTAGTACTTCGAGTAGATTATTTTATTCTCCAAGGTTTAAAGAAAGATTTTGGTATAAAGATCCATCTTTATAGCAAAATTCATCAAAATTGATTCGCGGTTTAGTCGTGATGCATAACAGACAGTGACGTTTCTTTGAGAGATCCTTGTATCTTTATAAATTATACCCTATGTGTTATTCTGATATATAAGCTATGTTATTGTAAAGTTTCATTAAAATCCAATTAGTACTTTTTGCGTGAAAGAGCAACAAACATTCATACATCCATACTTATGTTAAATTTTAATTTTGTTTTGCTTTTAGGTATTTAGATCGTAAGTGTTGTGTATACCTATACTTGGCGTAAATATAACTAAAAAATATATGTATATATAAATGTAAGTATATGTTATGCTGTTGGTGTACCTTAATAAATAATAATAATAATAAGTTTATTAAGGTCCAAAGTAACAATATACATTTGAATATAAGAATTTCCAATTATCAAATTTACAGAAACATTTGGACTGCAGCACTAGACAAAACAAGATGTAACTTGTGGTCCTCACACTAGGCTCTATCGTGAGAACCCACTGTAAAATGTTTACATATTCGATTTACGGCAGTGCGTGGTAAAAGCAAAAAAAAAACAAAAAAGAATATTTAATAAAAATGATTTCTTTTTCCGACAAAATCATTTTGACCCAAAATTTTAGCTCTATCATACCGGGAATTAACGTAGTCCGTTCAGATTCACTTTACCTCTTAGGTGCTCCTTTGTTGATACCAAGTTTGGAACCTCATTTAAAATTAAAGTTAAGTCAATTTTTAGATCATGTCAATAAATTATTTTTACTAAATTCGCATATTGCGCTTACTATTTTGCGACATTGTATTCTTGTACCTAAATTTACGTACCTCCTTCGCTCGAGTCCAGTTTGGAAATGCGGTGACTTTTTGAACGAAATTGATTTCCATCTTAAATTAGCTCTAGAAAAAATTCTAAATTTATCTCTTAATGAATTAAGCTGGACTCAAGCTACGCTGCCAATTCGTTTTGGTGGTATCGGTGTAAGGAAAATTTCTAGTGTCGCTCTACCTGCCTTCCTTGCTTCCGTGCATAGCGTAAATAATTTATGTAATAACATCCTTAATCACGATTCAGAACTTTCCTATGCAGAGGAGGCAAGGATGTCTTGGCTGTCTATCTGTCCCAACGAAAATATCCCACTGGAAGTAAACCTACAAAAACAGTGGGATGTTCCTTTGGTGCGGAGAGTACAGAGAGATACGTTTCAATCTTTAGAAAGTAATTTAGAACGTGCCCGTTTCCTAGGAGTCTCATCTAAAGAATCGAGTTATTGGCTTCACGCTTTACCATCAAGTAACTTGGGCACATTACTTGACGATGAAAGCTTACGCATTGCTGTAGGAATCCGTCTGGGGGCACCGATTTGTAAACCACACCAATGCCCTTGTGGTGTCAGTGTAGACAAATTTGGTCTCCACGGGCTTTCTTGTCAAAAAAGTGCTGGCCGTTTTTTTTCTCGCCACGGTTCCCTGAACGACATCATCCGTAGGGCTCTTGTTTCCATCAATGTTCTATCTATTTTAGAGCCCTGTGGCATTTTACGCGACGATGGTAAGAGACCCGACGGTTTAACATTGATCCCTTGGGAGAGAGGCAAAGCCCTTGTTTGGGACGCCACTTGTGTAGACACTTTGGCTGCCTCTCATCTAAGGGGTACTTCGGTCAGGGCCGGGGCGGCATCGGAGGCAGCTGAAGTAAGTAAATGGCGCAAATATGAGTCTTTATGTTCAGATTATGTATTTGTGCCATTTGCTGTTGAAACATTAGGTCCGTGGGGTCCCCGCACATCAATTTTTTTTTAAAGTTTATGTCCTAGGCTTAACGCCGCGGCTGGTGACAAGAGAGCTGGTTCTTTTCTCGCGCAAAGGTTAAGCATAACTATTCAGCGAGGAAATGCAGCTAGCGTTCTTGGCACCATGCCGCGTGGATTAGGTTTATTAGATAATATGTAATTTTAGATAGATTTAATCTTGTAAATATTAGATCAATAAAGATTGTCTTTTCCAATAAAAAAATAAAAACTAACAAGAACATTAAACAGATATTTCAAAGCATAGTGCCTTATTGTGTGATGTGTGTGTGTGTGTGTGTGTGTGCGTGTGCGTGTGCGTGTGCGTGTGCGTGTGCGTGTGCGTGTGCGTGTGCGTGTGCGTGTGACAGGGAGACGTTTCGTTGGAAACAGAAATGCTTGAATGCTTTAATTAACACGGTGGTAGAGCCACGCAGTAGCGTCGGCTGTTGCACGAATAGGCGGGCTCATCCGGGTAGGTACCACGACCTCACAGAAGACCGGCGTAAAGTTGAAGTATAAAATTTTTGCGCTTCGTCTGGTGAGTGAGGTGGCCGGAGCCCAATTTTCAAAAGGTTGTCAACACATCTGAAACCCTAGGGTGTAGCAGATGTCCATGGGTAGTGTTATTCACTTAACATCAGGTGAACCGTTTGCTCGTTTGGCAACTTTTCACATTAAAAAAAATTCAAATCCTCGCAGCGACGAAAAACTTTGCATCCATTTCTCTATGATTTTTTAATTATATTTCTATTAAAAATTTCCAGCATTTGATTCCCATGCCACTTGAAGATAGGAGAGATGGAGTCTGCCGATAATGATAAATTCCAGTACAAATCATTGTCATGATAGAAATGTTTCCATAAATTATTTGTTTAGTTTCAATAATTTGTTGTTATGTTGTTATTCAACAATTTTAAAAATATAAAAGGCAGAAAGACTAAGTGCAGTATAAAGTTAGTCGAATGGACCTGGATTGACAGCTCTGACAGCCGTGGACACAACGGGCCAGTTGATTTAATGGAAGAGGTTGATATAAATACGCATTGAGTGGTATTTAATTCAAACGTTCTGAACTTAGAACACTAAAGAATTATTGCATGGAACAGTAACGCGTGCGTTGATAGTAACAAAGCCGTTTGTTTAACACATAATTTAAAATAATTACCATATTATTTACTATGAACGATATTCTTGTTTGCCCGCAAAATGGACCGTGTGTTTGTGCATTCATGTGTTGGTTATACGGCATCTCTATAATGTAGATAATTCGTTTAAATTGCCTGTTTGTATTGAAAATATAACTTATAGTAATCTTCAACACGAGAAAAGTGGTGTACGGCATTACGTTCATTCTACGTTCATCCCTAAAAATAGTCTTCATGAAGTTCTGAATGTTTAATATAATCGTGCAGTATCTAAAAATAATGTCTAATTTATTTTAAATCCGGAAGAGGGAGTTATAAATAATATTAACCATGGATAGCCATGTTTTTCAAGATTATTTTAGTACGAAACTTTACGGATACATATCCTATTGTCCTGAATTGAACAACGACGAACGTTTTATCTTCATATTTATCTGTACGTTAAAATACAAACTATACCATAAACACAGTCAAAAATCAAAATGATTTTCAACTACCTTAAGAGACAAAATACCTTTGAATAAAAAAAATATATGACCTAATTAATAAAAATGGCAGTTGTAACACTTTTTTTTTTCAAGCATCATACACTTCATGCATCGAGTGGCTTCGATTAGCGGTTAGTTGATGCAATAATCTATTGAAATCACTTAACGCAAAGAACACATGTTTTATTTGCGTTATGTCTTATTGATGCCGCAACCGGTATTTGAGGCCGGGTCGGTCATGTCTGAAATTAAAGAAGCACTCTAAACACGGTATGTGTATATCTTAAATGTTACTCACGTAAACTTGTGCGGGGGCTAGGACGAAACCGACGCAGAGACCAGACAGGAATCTGCCAACCAGTATAAGCGCGAAACCTGGCGCGAATCCCAGCAACAGCCAACCTCCTGCCCACAATGGTGCCGTGAGCTGCAGGGTGCGTCTACGGCCTGCCTTCTGCATCAGGGGGCCGGACAACATGCTGCCCACGAACGCCCCCAACGGTGGGATTGCTCCTGTCAAAATAACACACAATATTCAATTTCACTATGGAGTGTAGTGGTGTAGATTCAAGCAGTCGGTTGAACACGAATGGGCAGACTCGAAACAGAAAGCGGAAGTACTGTATTTTCAGTGAGTGAGGAAATCCGGACCCACTTTTAAATAGGTCGGCAGCTCAAACATTTTGAAAAAGAAAAAGAAAGAGCTTTTAATTAGCTAACAACAGATCGCTAACGATTGATCAAAACAATGTTCAATTCTTTGTGACTCTGTTAAATTGAATGGTAATTTACCAATCCATGACTTCTGCTCGCTGTGCTGAATGAGAGAAGGGTCGTTAGCTTCAATTGACGGTATAGCGGACGCTGAGTAGCCCCTCACCAGGCCGATGATTAAGAATGCCAGAGATGCCCCAAACGTGAGCCACAACTGAAACAAACAGTCTTGTTTTCAATTGCATTCTATGATCTACATAGCATCATTAAACTGGATCTGGGAAATACAAATACTGAGTGATGATCTTCAATTAAACATACATTTATATTTTCATAAATGTATATTCAATGGCCGTTCATATTCACATCTACTGTATGTTTAACCATGTGAAAAGTAGACGCGATGAAAAAATATATAAACAAATGTAAACCTCGTGGTGTTTAAACCCTGTCGGATAGACAGATGACAGAAAAGGAAGGCACGTTACGAGAGCTTTATTATCCTCATATGTTAAAAATTTTACCTTAGCGCAGAATCTTATCTCTTAACACACACTAAAAAAAATTAACCAATGAAAATGTAAACTAACAAAACATGAAAGCATTTTTATTTTTAAGATTAAGATTTACTTCATTATTCATATTATATATATCATTAAACGCACAACATGTACATATTAATGACGAGACATGACATGATACAACTTCTATTACCAAACCAATGCACAATTTCATTCGGCAATTACAAAGAGCAGACGGTTCACCTGACGTTAAGTGAATACAGCCGCCCATGGACATCAGCTACACCCGAGGGTTCCAGATGCGTTGAGAACCTTTTGAAAATTGGGCTCCGGACACCTCTCACCAGACGAAACGCGAAAGTATATTTTGTCATTCTTCCACTTTACGCGGGTCTTCTTTGAGGTCGTGGTATTTACCCGGACGAGCCTGCCCATTCGTGCAATAGCCGAGGCTGCTGCGTGGCCCTACCACCATATCAGTTATCAGAGTTTTCAGAAACATCAATTTTTATAATCTACATACAATCACTCAATAGTAATGTATGTTTTCTTGCCGTGCTTAATTGTTACATTGTCAATTTAATAAGCAACGCAGACGAAATATCTATAAGCCAGTCTATGTAAATAAAACTGTGGTTTGGCGTTGTGCGTGCACAAAAAAACTACTGTTATATGTCAATAAATTTTTCTATGTTTTATTTCTTTGACACTTGGTCCATAATGTAACTTATTAAAATTTTAACAAACAACGGTTTTTATAAGCACTACGTCTTCTGGTGTGATTTCTTGTCATGGAGGATGTTAGCTAGTTTCGTGAATGAAAAGTTTGTTACGAGATGAAGAAATTATTCAACTCCGTCAACCTCCTGATACTGCACCGTGGTTTCACAATTCCAATGCTGCAATCACTTATCTCACTTAAAGCAAAGCGACGCTAATGTCAGACTATAAAAAGAATTTAGTGTGCTTATCATTTAAGAATTTTTGGCCACACATAACTAAAAAGTCGAGGTCCTCGGGTCAACACGGTAAAGTTAAGAGGTTGAAATCTTAGCTTAAAAATTAGCATATATATTTTTGTTCACTATTTAAGTTTAGAAATGACATTTTGTATCCAACTGTTAGCCAAAAACGCAAGACACGATAAAACATGATGAAGAAATTGGAAATATTTAGAAACGGTCACGTGCAAATTTTTAGAAAACCGCTAAAATGTATACGGTAAACAATTTGTAAATAAATTTACACACTTATCGCCTTATAAAAATCGACACCTTTCCGTTAAACACTTTCTATTATTTTCAACTGAAAATATTTTTCTACAGGCAAAAAGCAGTGTTGAAGTAAATATAAATAAATGTTTGCAAAATCCATAAAACAAAACAAAAAACACGGTATTGTAGACGGAAGTTTTTTCTAACTTGAGCACACTGGGAATTGGAGTTGTGGATTCAAATCCAGTATTTGATACGAACCTCGGGTGGCATATCCCCATTACTCGATCATTCTTTTACTCGGGTGGCGAGGGCCAGTCGGTTGTGACAAATTCTTAGTTGATAAACTTTGTTACGGTGTTACTAGTTTACAAAGTCTATAGGGTTAGGGTAAAAGAGCACAACAGTTTGAATGGGAAGGGTGATGTAGGACCTAACCACAGGGCTTAGAACGAACAGAAGAAAGGAGAATGAGTAACGCGTGGTAGGGCCTGTAACAGTCTTCATTACTGCACGACTTAGCAGGTCGATCCGGGGAAGTACCACGACCTGATAGAAGACTGGTATGAAATAGAAGTGCTATCTACAAATTGGTCTGGTGAGGTAGTCGGGATCCACTTTATTAAAAGGTGGCAATGCATCAGCATCCCTACGGGTTTTGCAAATGTAAATGGCGGTTGTGACTTATCATCAGGACTCGCCACGACTTTCCACCTTCTCACCTAAAAAAAACGTGGACCCGCTACAGAAACAGGCTCTCCCTGAGAATGTCCCGGCGGCAGGACGGCGGAAATGTACGTCTGTCAGGTGACCAAGCACGAAGGGTTTTTAGATGTGGGTGAGAACAATCTTCAAATTTTAAGAATAGCTTTAAAGAAAGTGAGACGTAAAACGCCCTAAAGTTAACTCTTTTTATAAATGGAGGTAATGACGTCATACATTGAGCCAATCTTAGTGGCCAGCAATCATTGTGAAAGATTTGTAACGTTTCATATATCAATATGGTTTATTGTTCTAAACTGTACAGCAGTTTAGCCATTGTAAGTAATAACTGTTAATCAAAAATGCTGTTAGAGCATACATGCTTTATCACACAGGAAAACGATATTTAATGCCGTTTACTACTTGTATTAGTGTTCAGACAACCATGAACTGGATTATTGAGTCACGGGTTACATTAACACTGTACGGCTAAAAGTTAAATGAAATAATAAAATTGATAAAAAAATGGACAAATAGTTTTTGTTGCTGCAGAAATGGAACCACGTCTTCCGGGTTCGCAATTTACTAAGACGTTTGAACCACCAAGCTTAACGGCTAAATGCTACCAACGAAAATCTCAACGTATTTTGTCTACATTTTTAAACATTTTAAGCTACGCTTAACACATCCTTTCCTTGTTCCATCAATAAACTCATTCACAGCAGACAAACAATTTCCAATATCGTTTTACAACGATAATTCGAACGAAGCTAAGCTGACGATGATGATGCGGCGAAAAACTTTTCGTCCACTGTTAGAAAAAAATTTTATGTTTCATCTCAAGTGCACCCACTAATCTTTAAATTTGAATCATCTTACTTTTTTTTAAATGTTGATGACTTCTTTGGGAATGATATTGATGTAAATGTTGACAAAAGGATGACATCTAATGCCTTTCCAAAATACAAAAATGACCACAGACAAAAGTTTAGTAGTAAGAAGAAACCGACAGTTGCAAATCTAAATTGGGCCGGTCGCTAAGTGCTTGGTTGTGACGCGATAGCGTTCCCGGCGGAAAGGAGTCATCACGAGTGATTTACTCGCAAGGAACCTATTGTGCACGTTCTTGAGGAATCATAGGCCAAATAGCAGGACAGATAGTATTGTCATTTTGTTCACGGTTCACGTGATAACGGCGTACAGTAACGTAACTTATTATCTGCTAAAGAATCTTCTTCTTCAAAACAAATCTCTTTTCATAGCTTACCTGTTGCGTTACTCAAAATTTTTGGCGGTTTTTACTTTTTCTTTTTCAGTTTTTAAACATAAACTGGTTTGATTTCGTTCACTTTATAAATAAGGTAGTTTTATTTCAAAAATTTAAACTTAGATAATCAAATAGCTAAGTTTTCAGACACCTAAATAAATGTGTAGGACAGAGCTAAACACCTAACTAAATGTGTAGCACAGAGCTCTGGAGGACAGAGCTTTGTTCTTTTTTTTTTGGTAAATCGTGTATTTTGGAAATTAAAAAATAAAGAAAGCAGAAAGCAATTCTCTGGTATAGAAAAAAAAGTTAAAAAAATAAGCGTGTAAATGATCGTAACACAAACCGCGGCCGCCGCCCGATTACCGACCGAGCTATTATAACATTTTTTTTCGGCGAAATTCACCGTCATATTCGAATGATATTTTTCATTCCCTGAAAATAGGAATAAAAGAACATTTTCTAAATCGACTCTTCGCCCCCGAATCTACGCACACACAAAATTTCTTATGCCTTGCTGTCTATCTCGATATAGGATACGACCTTTCAGTCATTGTACACCTTAACAGTAGTTAGATGTTTACAGCATTAAGTTTTAGTAATTTCATGCCACCAAGGTTTTTTAAAATATAGGTTTTACAACATTAAAAAATCAACATTAAAAAAACGTTAATCAATTTGGTAATAACTGTTAAGGGATTAATAATTGTAACTTTCGTCGAAAGCGTAATAAAGTATATTTATAAACTAAATTTACTAGGTCACCTACAGTCATCTGATATTGAATACGCAATACCTCAAGAAGTTAATTAAATATACTAAACAAAATAGAACGTTTATCAGAAGTGAACAAATCTTTATACAGTTTATCATTCAAGTTGATTGAAAAACTTAAATCAGCTGACAATCGTATCGAGAATAGGATTTATAGAGATAAGAGACTGTTGAGTTATTCAGTATAAGTAAGTAAAAAAAATGCACTAAATGTTAATTGGCACAATCCTCAAGTACTTTTGGCCCAGTGCCTATGCCATGGGGAAAACCAAAAAGTATGACACCATCCAGAAACAGAACCAGTATTAGCACGCACATTCGGTGAGTAGATCGCGTGGGGACAAAACCCACCACACGACGTAAGAGCATTTCACAAGGTCACCACTTAAACCGATACGCCATGCGTGTAGCCAATCACATTGACAGTTTAGTGATACGAGACGACATTATAAATCAATTATTACGTTTTTACCTTTAATCTGTCACAAAATATGCATTAAAAGGAAAATATCAAATCTACCGTTAAAAACGGTCAAGGAAAGCATGATTCTACGCGGTAAAATGACAAATTTTAGGTACGGCGTAACAAGTTGTGAGCCTTGTTGCCTGGAAAAATTTAGAAGTTCCCACTTAAGTATTTCGAATGATGTAAGAATTTCTAGATACATACAGTCGTATGTATTTAGAAATTTTGTAGTTCTAGTTAGAACGTTTGAAGTAAATAAGCTCGGCGAAA